ACCACAGATGCTGTTAGTGTTTACTAAGGGAATTTTCACATCTCTTGGATCCTATACAACTTATGAAACCTTGCAATCAGATTGGACAAGACCGTTCTCATTTCCTGTTCCACACACTGAATTTTGCTGTTTTTAATCACAGCTACAGAAAATCCCAGCTTGCCAATTGACATAGCAAAGGACTATGGCGCCATCTATTGTGCAAACTGAAAATAAACTTGAATGAGAATTTCAGTCGTCTTCGTTTTATTTGCCTTGAAAATTGAGTATGTAAAACCATCAGAGATACACCCCTTTGAATTCACTACGTGGTTCCTCAGCTGGAGAACCAAGGGATTAAAAAGGTGTCATGTAAATGTCTTATTGCCTCACAGACATTGTCAAATGCAAGTTGCATACATTGTATTTTATCGCATACAATTGTATTTTGTTACATTCTTTAGTAGAATATGAATGTATTTTTAAAAAATTTTATTAGTGAAACACCATGAGGTACAGTTGTAGACTTACAAATTTTTGTGCTTGGGTTTCAGTTATACAATGATCGAATACCCATCCCTCCACCAGTGACAAGAATATGAATGTGTTTATAGATGAAAAAACACTGCAAGATACTCAAGTGATTCTGGTAAAAGTATTTCTTTATGTATATATAGATAGTAAGCACAGTTGATAAGGTGAGGCCAATGCTAACAATCGAATTTGAAATAAATACAATTTTTCTAACCTTCTTGAAATTTTTTGAGTGAATTTTTGAAACATGAAGAGTTCCAAAATAGACTGTCTACTTTCCTGTAAGATATATGATATGTTTGCAAGATGCACATGGTACCACATTTTAAGGTGAATATACACAGTAAAGCATTTTTTAAATGCTTTGAAATAAATTGCAGTAATTCACCCAGCTGCAACCTTAGCTTAGAGAGGGATGTACTGAAGAATAAATGTAGTGTTGGGGATATTACTATTTATTTTGGGAGTCCCTCCCCAGCAGTGTCTGGGGGCTTAGAGGACACTTATAGCAATACAGTGGTACTGACCGGTAGGTAGTTGGGTGCAGTGGTAGTTGGATCCAGCAGTGCTGGGGCCACAGAGCCAGTGGTATGCAGAGCAAGGGGTCCAGTTCAAGGCTTCCTGGGGGAATTTGCTTCCACCTTTTGAGTTAGCTCCCAGTCCTGATGTTTTATTTCTTAAGCAAGGTGGTAGATGAAATATTGATTGTGCTATGTTTCATACCTTTAAGTAGGTTCACCATATTTCACAGTTGACTTTTACACTTGAAGTGAATGGTATCTTTCTTAATACCATTTTTAAAAGCCATGAGTAAATAAAAGCATGGCTGCTTTTTGTATTTATTTTTGAGTCACACCTGATGTGCTTAGGACTTACTTCTGGCTCTGTGCTCAGAGATCATTCCTGGCATGCTTGGGGAAATCATGTCAGAGATTGAACCCAGGTCTGCCGCATGCAAGGAAAGTGCCTTGCTGTTGTACTGGCTCTCCGGCCCCGGAAGAAAGACTGCTTTTTGTTGTGGGATTCCCCTGTCCTAGCTGCATTCTTACCCCACTGCATGGAGTGCCCACTTCATACCAACATCAGTGTGAAAGCACCTCCCCCCGCCAGGCCCACCACTGCCTTCCTTTTGGCTTCAACCCACGTACAGCTACTTCAGGTTTTTTTCTTTCTTTTCCTCCGAAAGACTGGGGACGAACACTGACTTTCTTGCTATGTTTTCAATTGCAAACTGATTAAACACACTCAGTCGAAAATGTAGCTAGACGTACTGAGAGCTTGAAAACATCAATCTGGAAAATTGGTACTACATTTTAATCTCTGGCATGTTTTATAGCTCTTATGCTAAATGGCACTCTGCCTAACCAGCTTTCAATCGTCAAAGATCTGATACTTTGCAATTATTGTCCACAATACCAGTTCTCATACGGGCTCAAAAATGAACTATTGAAGAAGCAAACGCTTATTCATTTGGCTTATTTTATTGAGAGAGAGAGGGAGGGAGAGAAGAAGAGAGGGAGAGAGAAAGATTCAGGAGAATTAGTATAAATCTAATAAAGTTTTAAAGTTCTAACCAGAATTTATATTTCGTACATGTAAAAAATTTAACAACTTCACTTAACTTTTATATTACTTGTTCATTGTGAACATAGTCCAGAACAAGATCTTACTCTTTCTCTTTTAAAAAAATGTATTTGGGGCCTGAGTGATAGTACAGTGGGGTAGGGAGTTTGTCTTCCATGAGGCTGACCTGAGTTCAATCCCTGGCATCCCATATGGTCCCCTGAGCACTGCCAGGAGTAATTTCTGAGTGCAGAGCCAGGAGTAACCTCTGAGCATCGCTGGGTTTGACCCAAAAAGAAAAAAAAATCTTATTTGAGGCTAGAGAGTCAGATATGTAAGTGGTAACAGAAGTTTTAACCTTGGTTCTGATGCCCTATGGTTCTCTGGACCTGGCCAGAGCTCACTCCTGAGCACAGATAGAGAAATCACTCCTGAAAAACATGTTGGGGTGCAGGGGAGGGGTACACTTAGCTGTGGTGCTCTCTGGCACAAAATTTGGTACTGAGATACCACATTTTATTGTGCCTGGGGAATCCCAAACTATAGATCTGTGGGATCTCACTGGGATATGTAACTGTGGTCCCCTGGGATTGCAGCACCTATCTCCTCCACCGCAGGCTTCTGGGAAGGCACTTTAGCCACTGAGCTGCCCCCTGGGCCCCAAGTTTTCCTGCTTTTATGGACCAGGGAGATAGTTCAGTGGGCTAAGCATTCAGTGTAACACTTTGCATGCAGGAGGCCTGGGTTCCATTCCTGGGGCAGCATATGGTCCCCGAGCACAGAGCTAGCTCCCTGAGCACCATCAGGTATGACCCCCAAATTTAACATTTTAAAATTAAAATATCTATAAAATCTGACTTAAGGAACTATGCTATTTTGAGCCTTTATTCGGTCTTCCACGAGGCACTGGAGCGGGGGTTCAGGGAATCAAACTCAGGGTCACCGGCAAGCAAAAGCGCGTGCTCTAGCAGCTTCATCCTGGCCCACAGAGCTTTTCTTCTGAAACACTGAAAGCTCCGGTGTCCAGAAGGCTACCTTTAACTTCTGATTTACTGGGAAATTGGCAAGCAATCTTTTTCAGGGCACTAAAGAATCATTTGTCAAGTTCTATTTATCGTCAGTGACTGAAGATATTGACTCAAAAAAATTACTGCCCGCTCTGAGTGATTTTTATTCAAGTAGATGCTTTTCTCACGCCCTGGCATAAGAAAAGTGGTTCTCTTAGATTTCATTACTCCACCTCAGCTGAGGGGGGAAGTGAGAACAGAAGGGGGGTGTGCGTGGGGGGGAGAGGGTATGTTTAAGTGAGGGCTCCAGGGAGAGGAGCAAAAGGAAAGTGCTTGCAACTCCCCCACACACCTTGTCCAGAGACAGAAGGGCTTATGGAACATCTAGCTTGATTTTACCACCTCCAGATTAGACCTCTGGGGCTGAAGAGCAAAGAAAAAAGGAAACCATAGTGAATCCACGCAGGTTATTTTGTGGTGGGGGAGGGGTGGAAGTTGGGGGAGGCACTCACACAGGCAGCTTAGGGGACCACAGATGCAGGGGGTCCACTCCGGCCTTTCATATTAGTTCTCCAGTCCTAGTGGGATACTCGCTTTTTCCTTTTCTCTTTCTTTTCTTTTCCTCCCTTCCTTACTTCTTTCCTTTTTCTCTCCTTTTCTTTCCTACCTCTCCTTCCTTCCTTCCTTTTCTTTTTTTTTCTGTTTATTCACATCCACTTCATCTATATTTATTGATACCATCCTTACTACATTGCAGGAAAGCACAGGTATTGGTCAAACAGGAGTACATTTCAATAGGTATGTACCTTACTTGGACAGAAATTATCTATTGATGGAGAAAGTCATTAAACAAATAATCAAATGATACAGAATACGATCGACTAAATGCTATAAAGAAAAAGGTCTGCAAGACTCTGAGGGTCTTGCTTGCTAGGATTCTTTCATACACAAGCAGTAGAAATCCCACTCAAAATAGTTCAGTCCACTGCGAAATGGACTAGAATAAACGGGTCTTTATGTCATAGTCTTTCCTATCAGTCTCTCAGACTTCTCTGCCAGGCCAAGAGATCCGAGGGGCAGCAATTCTATGAACGCATCTTACAGTTCTAATCTAAAAAGAAACAGCGTATTTAGTTCTTCTGGTGGAGCAGAGTTGGGTATGAGGAGGGACTTTGATAAGCAGGTTCACAAGCACTCATGGAATTCTGTTGCTAAGAGAGAATCCAGTATGAAGATGAAAGCCTCGCCTTAGCCTTACAGGGAGTAAGGGAGGATTCCCCCAAAGCACAGAGTTTAAGGTGGAAAGAAAAAAAGTCACAGATAAAGACGATGTCTACTGCAGAGGAGAATCTCACTGAGCACGTGGGGTTGGGAAAGGCCTTTCACAGATGGAAATGTTCTTACTCTGTTCCTAAGGAGCATTAGAAGAGCAGACAGAATTCCTCCTTTTTCATCACAAAAACACAATCCGTCTTTTCTAGTCTTGCCCAAATAAAGCACCTCTTCCAAAACCTGGACCCAACTTCCCTACTTCCCCAGTTCCCGATTCCTCATCTTAAAAGAGTACAAACAAGTGGGTGCACTAATGGGGTGGGGGTAGGGGGGCAGATCTGACTTAAGCCCGAAGAACCTAGAAATAAAACCAACCCCCCCCCCACCCCCAAGGAACCTAAGGGCCGGCCCTTCAACGAAGCCACAATCCCAGCTAATTTCCGTCTCTGCTACGTAAGGCGGACACAGGCCGGCCCCCCTCCCCATCCCCAGGCCTCCAGCCGCCCGCACCCCGCGGCCACCTGCCCGGCTCCTGGGCGTGCCCGGGAGGCCAGGGATGCGGCGGCCGGCCGCGGCTCCCGGGACCGGCGGTGACGTCACGCCGCCCCCCGTAGCATCGCGAGACTCTCGCCCCCCTCCCCGCAGCTCCCCGCGCTCGCGCCCGCCGCCCGCGCCCGCTGCCAGGCAGCGGCGGGGATGGCCAGGCGCCGAGCCGGGGCGGTGACGCGGGCTGCGCTGCGGCCATTGGCCGAGGGGGCCTGAGGGACGGGCCAGCCCCGTGAACAAGGAGACGCCGAGCCGCGGGGCCCCGGGAGAGCGAGGGCGATGGAGGCCAACGCGCCCAAGCGCAAGGAGCCCGGCAAGTCCCTGCGCATCAAAGTCATCTCCATGGGCAACGCCGAAGTGGGCAAAGTGAGTACCGCGCCGGCGGGGGCGGGCCCGGGGGCGCGGGCCGGCGCGCCGATTGGCTGGGCGCGCCGCCACTCCGCCGCTCGCGGCCCGGCCTCCCGCCCGCCCCCGAGCAGGCCGGGGTCTGCTCCGCCGGGGGACGCGGCGGCTCCGGGAGGAAGACGCACCCCACCCCCGGACCCCTGGGACCTTTGGGTCGCCCCTCCTCCTCCTCTGACGTCATTCTCCCCAAGAAAGTGTCCTGCGGGGTGGCTTCTGGCCCCGGAGCGTCGCCCGGAGCGTCCCGAGGAGGCCTCGGTGCTTGGGTCACGTCTGTGTCCGCCTTCGAGGTCACCGTGCAGGACTTGGAGGGGGACAAGAAGAATCGTCAGCCCCAGGAGGGTTTGGGAAGCGAAGGGAACGCACTGGGGAGTGGGGGTGTTTGGGTGCACTGATGTGTGGGGGGGGCGTATGTATAAAAAAAAAAAAAACGTTGCTCTGCAGACACGTGGCCCGGAATTAGGCATTTTCATCACGCGCGAGAGCCTTAACATGCGAACTGAGTTTCCAGGGAGGTGTGATGGAGATCAAGGAGACTGCGTGGCTGGCGCGCTTGTCTCTCTGGAAAGGTCACTCCCTTCTCTCAATGCAACCCTAGCCCCACCGCCTCTCCCCAGCTCTGCAGCTAAACTGGGGATCAACTCCGGCTCTCCCCAGTTGCAGGCTGGGTGGTGGGGAAGAGTGAGCCGGGCCTCTTCCCCAGAGGAATTCTAAGACTGTCTCATCTGTATTCAAGTTGTCACTCCCACGAAGTTGGTTAAGAACTTCCCTGGGCCTTAACCTGTCCGTGACAGGCTTAGAACTGGGTCTGCACACTTCGATCCAAGTGCTCTTCCCGTGGGGTGAACTCTTAGGTCGGATCTACAAGCCTGTCCTTGGGAGCGTCTTATCAGGCCAGTTCCCTGCACATAGATGATGCTCAATGAAAGTCTTTTTCCACTTGGCATGATCCTTTACTACTTATGTATCTCTTTGCATGAATTTAAGTGCAAACATACTCCAACTGTTAGCATTAACTGAATGCGAACTATGTGCTAGGCATTAAAAATAAAAAGTCTTGGGTTCAGAGTTGATAGTACAGTGGGTAGGACACTTGCCTTTGACTTGGGCCCCCTGGGTTTGATTCTGGCATCCCCTGAATCCCTTGAGGAGTAATCCCTGGTTAGTGTGACCCAGAAAACAAACAAAAACAAAAGCCTTAGGAGTTATGTGCTGAATCAGCCCAGTAAGCATTTTACAGTTTAATGGTCTAATATTAGAAATTAGCCTGAAATGTATTACCATACATTATTTAGCACGGTTTCTATATCTGTTAACCAATGCAATTACACAAGAGAAATAAAATACTGGACAAGATTAGGAAAAATTGTGGTTTATCTGCTAATGTTAACCACCAGGAGTGATCCCTGAGCACAGACCAGGAGTATGCCCTGAGCTCCAATGAGTGAGTCCCCAAAATCAAAAAAATAAAAATTAGGAAATACTCCAGTAAACAATCCTTGGATCAAAGGGCAAATCAAAACAAAAGGAAGTAATAGAAAATAACGAAAAGTTTTTGTATAACAAAAAGTTATACAAAACCTTCAGGAGAAAATTAAGTCTATAGTCAAAGGAAAATTCATTATCTAATTGACTTGAAGAGAGAGAGAGAAAGAAACCCTCTCTCTTCTTTATAAAAGTTTTATAATGACTTAAAAACAGTTTGAGTGTGAATTGTGCTAAAAGCTATTAATTGCAACCTTAAAAAATTTTTAATTGAATAATAAAATAATAATAATAAAGGCCCTCCCGTTGATCGTCGATTTGCTCGAGCGGGCCCAGTAACGTCTCCATTGGAGACTTTGCTGTTACTGTGTCTGGCATATCGAATACTCTCGGTAGCTTGCCGGGCTCTCCGAGAGGGGCGGAGGAATCGAACTCGGGTCGGTCATGTTGGCCGCGTGTAAGGCGAACGCCCTACCGCTGAATATCTGTGAGATAGACCATTACAAAACTCCTTCATGGTTGGGTGTCAGTCAAACAATGATCCAACATCCCTCCACCAGTGAACATTTCCCACCACCGATGTTCCCTATTTGCTTCCCACCATCCCCCAACACCCTCCTACCCCAGCCTGACTCTATGGCTGACACATTTCTTCTTTCTCTCTTTTTGTGCATTCTGGTTTGCAGTACAGGTACTAAGAGGCCGTGTTTGTTCAGGGCGTTCAGTATTTTTATAGGGAAGGTAAGGCTGGAGTAGCAATTGGCTGACAGCTTTGGTTTGTGGATGTGACTGCTAAGGCTTACAGAAGTACAGGGAGATGGGGGGAGGTAGCCCATCCCAATGCTGAAAAAGCCCGGAGATTTCAGTCACAAAACCCGCATAAACCGAATTTTTAGCAGACCTCGGTGAGGTCTCCCCAAGACAGTGGAGTCTGACTGGGAACATGGCTGTGATTTTGGATTGTGGAAGCAAGTGGCTGCCGGAGACTCTGCTTGGGTGGGCACCCACCCCCCCTCTGATTTACCCTGGTCTGTTTGGCCTTGAGTGGGTCTAGGTTTAACTGCTTCTCATTGGTTTTAATTATCATCTTTATCCTTTTAAACATGTATTTATATGATGACACCTATTTAGGGGCTCTCTGTTTTGTTCTGCCAACCTGCTTATCTATTTTGATGTCAATATTATGGTCTTAATTATAGTTTAATTTTATCTATCAGATTTTCTTCTATACCCTGCCCTGCTCCTCTTTTTTTTGGGGGGGGTCACACCCGGTGTTGCACAGGGGTTACTCCTGGCTCGTATACTCAGGAATTACTCCTGGCATTGCTCAGGGGACCATATGGGATGCTGGGAATTGAACCCAGGTCGGCTGCGCGCAAGTCAAATGCCCTACCCACTGTGCTATAGCTCCAGCCCCATCCTCTTTTTATACTTTAGTGGTTGTTCTAAAGAGTGTTAAATGGGAGTGGGGAGAACCTCAAAACTACTGAGATTTTAATTGGAATTTCAATTTTAAAAAGAATACAAAAAATCTATTAAAAATAGAGAAAGCAAAACAATTCTCTTTATATTTGTTGCTTCACTCAAGCTTATATGATCTTCAGAAGTAGGAGCCTTATGTCTGTGGTTATAGGGAATCATTATTAATACTATTAATTAAATGTGTATCTTTTTAAACACTTAGGGTAGTGCTTAAATAGCATACTGAAGCTAAAGGACTTCCAGTTCCTCTCACCTTGTGAATAATTTAGGAAAAGGCTATATTTATTTTCCTGGGATATTTTGAGAGAAAGCATTGGAAAGTACTTTCAAGATGTAAGATGGTTTTTAACGTGTAGTTTCTTAGCAGGAATCACTTTTAGGACTTTTTTTTTCAGTTTACAATGTATTTAATTTAGGAGGTGGGTGCTCTCTGGAAGTGCTCAGGAAGCCTGGGAATCCTCTTAGTGGTTCTCCGCCCACTAGGCTGGCACATGCCAGGATGCAGCACTGTTCGGCCCCGCAGTGCCCAACAGATGCCTTAATCCCTGTGCCATCTCTCAGGCCCCTAAGGTAGTCTTATAGTGCACAGTTTATTTTAAATTGTATGCTATCCTTTTTCAAGGAGGGGCCGTCACCTGCAGTGTTCAGGACTTCCTCCTGACTCTGTGCTCAGGAGTAGCTACTGGCAGGGCTTGGGTAAACTTATGTAGTGTCAGGGATTGAACCTTATCTGGCTGCATGCAAGGCAAGTGTGCTATCTTTCCAGGCCCAAGTTATCTACTTTTAAAAGTAACTGACTTATTTGGTTTGCGTTGGGGTTCACCACATAGGATGAACAGAATAAATTAGTACTTCAAGTAAATTTTAAGTTCCACATGTCAAAAAGGATTGCTATTATTAATATGTAAGTCATCTTAAATCAGATTTCCTGTGGCACTGAGCTCATTGCTGCAAAAGACATAAAAACGTAAAATGCTGGTGCCTGCCTTCAAGAAGTTTACTTCCTACCTAACTCAACATTTGTTTTTCAGTTTAGTTTAGTTTTGTTTTTTGGGGGGGTCAACCACCCAGTGATGCTCAGGGATTACTCCTGGCTCTGAACTCAGGAATTTCTCTTGGCTGTGCTCGGGGATCCTGTAGGATCCTGGGGATCAAACATAGGTTTGGCAAAGTGTCCTCAAAGTTTGAAATGGAAAAGTAAGATCTGTAAGAAGTTCATTCATTGCAGACAAAGAGAAAAGCAAGAACAAAAGTCAAGCACTCTAGTATTTTATAGAAATGGAGAGTTTAGGTCATTATTCCCTCTCCAGCCCATGGTATGAGAAACTGGCCACCATGATTTCCCCTTTCAGATGGAAAGGACACGCAGACCGAGAGTGCCTACCAAGGCAGCTGGCCATCTTTCAGAACTCCCATGAGCTTAACTTCAAGAAACCAAAGGCGCCCTGGATGCACCTACACTGACAAGAAGTGACCCTTTTCGGGTAATGCTTCTGCCTGAGAGAGGGTCCTGTCTTGTGTGGTGACCGTGATGAGCATACAGAGGACGGTTGTCATCCACCAGGACCATCTCCACTATGTCCGGAAGTACAAGCACGTTGAGAAGTGTCACAAGAATGTGTCCATGTGTCTCTGTCTGTCGCCCTGCTCAGCCACATGGACCAGTGGGCAATGCCGTATCCTCAGTCAGGCCGTACACTTCAGTGTCCTCAAGGGGACCAAGGCCACTGCACCAGGAAGCAGCTCCAGAAATTCCGAGTCCCCGTTCCCCCAATGGAACAACAGAACAAAGAAAAAAAGTGGGGAGTTTATGTTGGGAGGGTTTAGACAGAGAAGATGAATTAGGGGACCAATTAGGGAGGATTTTACATCAAGAACAAAAGAATTGCATTTTGACCTATTTGTAATGAAAATCCTGAAACTGATAAACCACTAAAAAATTTGAGAATTATGGAAATTTATGGCATTAGTGGTGTGCATTATTGATTGAAGTTGGGAAGAAAAGGCAAGCAAAAATTGCCTTAAATTGTCTGGTAATAGAGAAAATGGACCTAACGCAAAGTAATCTCAAATGGCACTTAAAAAAGAAAGATGAAAGAAATAGTCAAAAGATTGAGAAAGACTCAGAAGCAAGCATGACTTTAATATTTGTATCCACTGTGATGGGAAGGATAGTGTTTGAATGAAACCAAGCTGTCAGCAGGGTGGGCTGCTGTGAAGTTTAAGATGAGTTCTCTTGGAGCCATGTTAAATTTGAGTGAAAACAGCGCATCTCAGTAGAAACTGGTCTAGCCAACCTTTGGACAGCAAGTCTGGTCCGGGGGTGTCTTGGTGTGACTGTGAAATGTACACAAAGTTGTGTAGTGTTCAGAGAGAACATAAGAATTGCTTTTTCTTCTAAAATTCTCACTTTTGTGAAGAATGCATTTACTAACAGTATGCTTTGTTTTTGCCCTTTTAGAGCTGCATCATAAAACGATACTGTGAGAAAAGATTCGTGTCTAAATATCTTGCAACAATTGGAATTGACTATGGTGTCACAAAGTGAGTATATTGTTTCTTTGGACTTAAGCATCACTTAGAAACCACGAACTGTTCCAAACTGGCCTGTCTTCCCTACAGCTCAGGCTCCAGAGTGCTGGTCTTGAAAACTTGACACAGAGTCTGAAGAGAAAGTGGGAAAACTAAGGACGAGACATCACCAGACCCGTGTGGATGTGGATTGTTACATCTACTCACCGGGCTCTGTGATAGGTGTAGGGCCCACGGGAGCACAGCACAGCTTTGCAGGCGGGATCCCTGGGTTTGATCGCTGGCACCACATGGTCTTCCGAGCACCTACTAGGTGTGACCCACCTCCCCGCCCCCCCCCATCGAAAGTACACTAAAGAGCACTAAAAATCCTTGACATAATAGGATTTCTTGTTGAAGACTATTAGCTTCACATCTTTGTAATTAGCTAATTTATCTAAGAATGTAGTTTTTTTCATTTCACTAATAATTAGCAGATGTTTCTAGCAAACAACATAGCTGTCCCATGGTGAGGGAAGAAGATAAAATGGACAGAAATCCAACTTAAACCAACTCAGGTTCTTCATTTATTATTTTGGGGTTTGGGGTTTCAGCCAGCAGGGCCTCTAGGCTATTCCTAGTTTGGTGTTTGGGGGGATACTTCCTGAAGCACTCAGGGGACATTTGGTATTAGGGTTCGAGCCTGGAGGTTCTGCGTTCAAAGCATGTCCTCCAACCCTTTGAGCAAGCTTCCTGGCTCCCAACTCATATTTTAAAAATAAAAATGGAACTAATATACAACCTATATATGTAGATATGCATATCTATGTATTTTTTGGCAGGGGGAACATGTTTTTGTCACATCTAGTGATGCCCAGGTTATTACTGGCTCTTTACTCAGGCATGACCCTTGCCAGTGCTCAGGAGAACTGTAGTGCTGGGGATCAAACCAGAGTCAGCGTCTATATAAGGAATGCTTAGAATATCTTTCCAGTAATCTATTAATCTATTTTTTTAAACTCAAGTATAAGGATAAGGTTGAATCTCAGAGATGTCTGGAAACAAGGACAGACATAGAATACAGTCAAGTCTCTCTCTCTCTCTCTCTTTCTCTCTCTCTCTCTCTCCCCCCCACTCGCTCTTGCTCTCTTTCTGTGTCTCCCTTTCCCTCCCTCTTCCCAATTCTCTCCCCCCCCTTGCCTCCCTGCCCCCTTCTCTCATTCTTTCCTCCCCTTTTCATCTTTCACTCAACTTCCAGAAAGCTCTTAGGCTCACACTCAAGTTTGCTTCTAGAGGGGGGTCAGCACTAATCTCCGAGCTTAAGACTCTGGTGATTTTGTCAACACTAACGAAGTTAGAAAAGAGCTGGGTGATGGGATTTGGGTAAATTGTATAATTTCATCTTTCTGTTTGTCTTTAATATCTCAATCATGTTCCATTCTTTCATTTTCTGAGAATAAGTTGTTTTTTTTTTTCAAATGGGGAGCTGGAAGGGAGAGAATGCAAGAAATGCAAGGAGCTGGAGTGAGGTCGCCCCAGCACCACGTGTCCCTTCCCTTGCACTGTGGGCATGGTCTCGGTGGCCCCTGAGAACGCCAGAGTGGCCCTTAGGGCCCCAGTACCACCTTGCCCACCGAGTATTGAAAAGGAGACTCATCTCACACAGGACAGAGTCCCAGGGGCATCGGGAGGGACCCTGAGCCTTGAAGACACTGGCAAGGCCCATATTTAAAAAGAAAGAAAAAGAACTAGAGGCAAATACATGGGCATTCGTCATACTTCATTCTAATATGAATGGTTATTTATATTTTGTCCTTTTCTGTTTTCAAATTTCTGGAAGCAAGTGGTTAATCTTGTGCCAATGAAGATTACACAAAAATTAAACAGATGTTGTTAATAATAAACATCTTTGTTATTGTAAGACATGGTAGCCAAGCATAACCAGTAGTAATTAAGATGTCTTACTTAGTGAAATAAAACATGTCTTTTTCCTTCGATTTCACTCTCACTGGTCCCAAATGAATTTTCTTAGTACTGTAGCAGTGGCTGCTGATTGGAAGGTTAAAGAGGTATGGACTGGAGTCTGGAGGTCAGTTGGCAATAAATAAGGGGACTTTTCCAGATGGGTTTAGGGTTCTTAGAATAAGGCAGGGTCATCTGGAGTGGCTGGCTCCCGGGTTAAAGATGATCGGGAACCAAGAAGTAACAGGAAGTGTGGATTCCAAGTCACACCCATCCTTGGACTGTGGAGTGCGGATGCCATGACCTTTGGGATTCTGTCCATTTTGATGTTTCAGGGTACAAGTCAGAGACAGAGAAATCAAAGTGAACATCTTCGATATGGCTGGACATCCCTTCTTCTATGAGGTAAGAACGGCTCTTTCTGAGGAAAACCCATGTTCAGGGCTGTCAGTGGGTTGAGGGAAACATCCTAAAAGATCCAGAAACTAATTCCAGTCACGTATAAGGAAAGTAAACTTAGTTCCTGTTTGTGACTCCTCCTCTGATCTCTGATCTTTATTTTATGGGTGCCTGCTGGTCTTTGGTTCTATCCCCTCAAAAATGGATAAGAAATATCATTGCTGTGTTTCACTTAGACAAGACATTTTAACACAGAGAGCTTTGTTTTCCACTTTATACCTCAGCCCAGTAACTGAAGGGATAATTGCATCCACGCTTAGGACTTGCGCCTTGGAGAATCTGATTCTCTCCTGCCGGGGCGCTTGAGGGTGCTCTGGGCTCTTTCCTGCGTCACCAGCCTCCCCTCACTCCCTCATAGGACCCTCCTGGTTTTCTTCCACCTACTTTTAAATTCTGAGCAGCCTCAGAAAGCGTCTCCCTGATCTTCCTTCAGGTTTTGTTTCTGTTCTGTTCTCCATGTTCCCTAGGGAGATCTGTATTCTCTAGTGTGGCCATTTCACATCTCTGTCTTTATTCTTTCTCGCTTTGGGTTTGCTTTGCCATTCTCGTTCGAGGTTCTTGAGGGTGGGAGCGTGTACCACTACGCGGAGGCTTTCTCTGCTTCTGTGTGCTTTTCCTGCTATATTCCCCTCACGACAGGCTCATGTGTGTCCCACCAAGTTGCTGTGTGCTGTTTCCAGCCCCCCCCCACGCTGGGGAGCTCACATCAGCCCAGGGTAGTGTTTGCTGGGTGCAGCAGTACCTCCTCCTGGCCCTGGTGCTCTCCTGTTCTTCAGTGACGCTCGTGGGGTCACAGCCCTTTGTGTGGTGCTCACTCATACCCAGCTATGGCACAGCCAGCAGAACAGTGGTGTTGGGCACCTGGGATCACACTCATGATGTCATGTTTGGGCGGCGGTCACTCAGAGGCACTGCGCTATTCCCCCACACTTCCGGTCATCCTTCGAGGCTGCGCCCCTCTTGGTTCTTGGCTAAAGAGAGCAGCCTTTGCGGGGGGCATTCATTTGTTGCTCCCACTGGCACTTTCAAGTTACCTTCTACTTCAACACGGGGATGTCGTTATGAGGGCAGAAGCCAGGTAGCTTCCTGTGGTGTCATTCCTTGGGTCTCGAGGCCCCCAGCGTGTCTGCCTCCTCCGATCCACCTTCCCCGTATGTTATCTAGAGAATGTCCAGGGTTTTCACTGGAGGAGAAATGGGAGGAGGGATAGGGGGAAAGTGCATCCACTCTTGTCTTCCCAGAAGACACGACTTTAATGGCTGTGCTGGCTTCTGTTTTGTGAGTACACTCAAAATTGTTAGGGAAACGAATTCCTTTTAAATGTGAAAGTTGGCCAGCTGCAGGAAAAAGAGAAATGCGCATAATTATGCAGTAACAATGCTGGCCAATTAATGCAGTGACAAAGTAGTTATTCCTCAATTTTGAAGTGTTGCAGCCCAATACAAATACCTACTACAATGATTTTATTATACCTAAAAAAAATGAGGAAGGGAATTGATGTGAGCTATGGCAATAACGAATGCCTAACATAAAGTAAGTCAGAGTCTTTTTTAAGTCATTTTAAGAGAATAAAAATTATGTCCTTTTGTCAAAAAAAATGTGAAAGTCACCTGAAAAGATATAGAATATTGTCTGCCAAAAAGGCCTGGAGGCTCTTGGTGACCCCAGGTTTGGCATAGATTCTACCTACCCACAGTGCTGATGTAAATCTTACAACTCACATGGAAGGCTTCAGAGTGTGGAGTTAGTGCTGGACACTGCTGCCCATAGTAGGATTGCTCTCTAGATCATTCTGATGGATGGTGGGTTTTTTTTGGTTTTTTTAAAAAATTTTTTTGTTTGTTTTTTTGGTCACACCCGGCGATGCACAGGGGCTACTCCTGGCTCATGCACTCAGGAATTACTCCTAGCAGTGCTCAGGGGACCATATGGGATGCTGGGAATCGAACCCGGGTCGGCCGCGTGCAAGGCAAACGCCCTACCTGCTGTGCTATTGCTCCAGCCCCTCTGATGGATGGTTTTTATCATTCGCCAGTTACCAGTGTGCCTGCACGGGCTGGGAACTGGACATCCGCAGACCCCATTCTCCTGGGGCAAATGTGACAGTGGGCTCGGGACCCCTCCTCCCAGCCTTCCCATATCTGGCAGCACAGGAAGGTCCCTGGAAGGAAGCAGCGTTTCGGCTGACCCTGGAGGGCTGAGTGAGAGTTGGGGAGGTTGGGGGGAGCCTGGAGAGGGAATACCTCTGAAGGTCATCTCGCCACTTCGCTCGCTCCTCAGTTAGACACTCTGAGCGGACAGCTCTCCCTCACAGATGCTGCTGCGTTGGACTCGCACCACTGGTCCTGGCCTGGCCTCGTGTGCGACTAGCTTGAGTCTTGCTAAGGTTCGTTCCTCTGCTCCTTCTCAGGTAACAGCCGTTTTTATTCCTGCCAGTTAGACATCTCCGCCTCCTGTGTGGATTATCTCTAGGTAGCTGATGGGAACCTGAGAAGTAAACTCAGTGATGCAGATATTGTTCTAAGAAACATTGGAGGTTTCTGTTAGTTTTTCTTCACAGGCACTAGATGCTTATCAATGCAACCTAGAATTGCTATAACTTATCTCCCAGCAGCTCTTAAAAACACAAGTATAATTAATAGAAGCTCCCTGAAACTGCTGCTTCTGAAGTCCTTTTCCCTAAGTAATCCGGATTGCTCCTTTTTTGGTCAAACATTTTCTGCAGGTAGCTCCAACCTTCTGTTTTGACAAAACTGAGCCGCTATCATCTTTCCAAAGTATCTGAAGCTGACCGCGTCCACCTGGGAAAGCCCCCACAGCCTTTCTCGTGGTCCCCAGCTTCCTTCCTCCGAGCTTCCTAGGGACCCCACACTCTGGATGGCTTCCCCGGGGCCTGCTTCACAGGGAATGCACCCCGAGGAGAGTGTTGGGGACCCCAGGCTCACCCTAACTCCTGCTTTGCCAACATGCACAAATGTACTCTAGGCCGTATCAGGCTAGAGCTTCTGTTGAAACATCTCTGGCCCAGCAGGTACGAAGCTATTCGGGCTTTCTCTCTGTTGTACAGGCTACAGACTTGGTGTCTCTGCTCTAGGGATGGAGTAATCCTGACCCCCTTAGCGTCCATTTAAATCATACTTCAGATGCAGCAAATCTGCCAAAGCTCTTATTGGACAGCTGCTTGGGAGATAAGGGTGGCAGCATTTTAGGGGACCGGTGAGGTCCCTACTTTGAACTTCTCATTTTATAGAGGAGGCACGAAGGCCTGAGGGAATGATCAGCAGAGAAATAAATAAATTATGCTGTAAGATTCCATGGGTTGGGCTGGGAGACGGCGTGAAGGGCCGCACCCCGCTGTGCACGGAACTTCGTTCATTCCCCAGCATCAGGCCTCCCAGTTCTCCCAAATGAACCCTCGCCCCCCTCCCAACTCCCCCAACGAAATGTTCACAAAGGCAGCAATTTGCTCGCCCCGGCTATTGTGTCTCTTGAAGGACAAATCCATTGAGTTTGCTTCTTTCTTTTTATACACAAATTTCCCTCCAGACAGCATGATCTGAGTTTTAAAATTCTTTTCCATTTTTGACCTCCATTTTTGTTTTCTGCTCGACCACACTCAGCCGTTCAGTTAAGTGCATCTCAGGTACTTGTGCCTGCCCGGCCCAGAGGGTGGCACCAAGATCCCGGCCCTCACACGGCATCAAGTCTGGTCAGGAACAGTGGGAGCGCCGCCAGCTACGCAGCCAGACACGGCGGGACGCATGTGCATTTTGAGAAGTACAGAATGCTGTCGTTTTCTTTGCAGAGAACATTCTTTTGGGCGGTGATGGGAAGGATGGGGTGGAGTGGCTAGCTACAGTGTTTCCTCGTGAGATCTTGAGAGACTGAAGAGCAAGGGTGTCTGTGTTCATGCAGAATCAGGAAATACCAGAAAGGCCTCTGGCATGAGGCTAATTCAGTTTTGAGATACAAGGAAGATAGAATGGGGAGCTTGATAGAAGACAAGCTGATTGGAAGCTTTTAACATTAAAAGACGTTGAGGGGTCGGAGCAATAGTACAGTGGGTAGGGCATTTTCCTTGTACAAAGCCAACTTGAGTTTGATCCCTGGCATCCCATATGGTCCCCCGAACACCACCAGAAGTAATTCCTGAGTGCAGAGCCAAAAGTAAGCCCTGCGCATTCCTGGGTGTGACCCAAAAAGCCAAAAAACAAAAACAAACACAAAAAAAACCCACTTTGAACTTTGGGGCATTGTCAGTAGGAAAACACTGAAAGATTTTTCAGTCAGGGCTTTAACGGGTTGATGCCAGTGCTATACTTGGTGTTTATTGAATTTCCTTCAAGTGTAGGCCACCAGTAGTATGCGCCAGTGTCATCCTTTTGCAAATACGAAAATTCCCTGTCTGTGATATTGCTGGGAAGGTTATTCCAGAGAGTCTGGTAAGTTGGCAATGCAGATGGAAAGGAAGTGGCAAGTGTGAGGAACGTGGCAGCGGCGGCTTCTGTGGGACTGTTTGAACCTGTGGAGCTTAGGGCGAGGAAGGCAGCGAAGGTCATGAAAGCAGTGGGCTTCAGTGTTTGTCAGGTGAAGTCCGAGAGAAGGAAGAACTTGGGAAGGAATTAGATGGTTTTCTGTGGAACCGTCAGGACCAGAGCTCAGGGAGATTGTACGTCTGTCAGGTGAAAGGGCTCCCGTCGGAGGGCGTCACAGCAAGTGGCGAGGTAGCTGAGACGGGAGGGAGGATTTCAACAGAGGACCAGGACCCGTGGCAGGATCTGGAAAATGATAGCAGCAGGCTGGAGAGGGAACAATGGAGAGAAGAGGGGTTGGAGAAGGAGATGAGAGCCTGGAAACCAGGGGACCAGAGGCCCAGGGACCCGGAGAGAGGACAGCGCTGAGGCTTGGTCGTATATGTGGCCCCCCAGGACTGTCTCTAGCTCCACACATGGCACCCGGAGCCCCACCAGGAGTGATCCCTGAGCACAACCCAGGAGAAAGCCCCGAGCCCAGGCTGGTGTGCCCCCACATCCCCCAAACCAAAAAACAAACAGAAAAGATATTCGGGGAAGTTCAAGAAAATGGTCTCAGGAGAGGAGTCTCAGGGGAGGGAGGAGAGGCCCGAGGGATCAGTCAGATCATCGGCCTGGCGGCACCTCAACTTTGCTAGTGGGTGCCATGAGGCCTGTGACCATATTGGGGTATGAAGCTGTGTTCCTGAAATTTTTAATATTATAAAGCAGGGTCAAGCTGTGACAGTTTATTTAAAAGAGTTTTAGGAGGTGCGGGAGCTGGAGGACAGTGGGGTGGGCGCTTGCCTTGCCTGCAGCTGGCCTGGGCTCAATCCACAGCACCTCGTATGGTCCCCCAGTTCTTGCCAGGAGTGGTCTCTGAATACAGAACCAGGATTAAAGCCCTGAGCATAGCTGGATGTGCCCCCACCAAATAAATAAAAGGAGTAAATAACTAAATAAATTCTAGGGAGGAAGGAAGAATTTCATTTCAACCCGTTCAGGGGGACTGAAGGGAGAAGCCTAGCCTTCATCACTTAGTTCTTTTTTATTTATTTATTTATTTTTTTTGCTTTTTGGGTCATATCTAGGGATGCACAAGGGTTACTCCTGGCTCATGCACTCAGAAATTACTCCTGGTGATGCTTGGGGGACCATTTGGGATGCTGGGAATCGAACCTGGGTCGGCCGCGTGCAAGTCAAACGCCCTACCCACTGTGCTATCGCCCCAGCCCCCTCATCACTTAGTTCTTTTTGACCTGTGGCTTATAGTCTTCAGGAAGGCTCTAGCAGATCTCTGTTGGCTGACCAGCACTTCATTCCAGGTCAGCACTTCATTCCAAGCCCTCAGGCCTGATGTGTGGAAGAAGTCTTCATTTCTGATGCATAGCTGCTCTGTCGGGGTACATGCTGGAATTTTCTGGAAATGATAGAGAGTACTTGGCTTCTGCCAAGGCTCTTACTGGAATTTTGGCTCAGGATCCCTGATCACTGTTGCTTCTCAGCCACCAACTTGACATAGGCCTATGCCCCACTTAGTGTCTGTATTTCATGCCACCTCTTCCCGGAATGGTACGGAGGTCCCTGAGGCAAGTGACCATTTCTAGGAGGACTGTCAGAAAGAAGAAAAGGGAGGGAGGTTGAAGGAGCTGATGCACCTGGTTGGCCAGGCACTGTTTGGTCCTCTTCCTTCTTTATCTCTTAATAACCCTGCGAAGTAAGTAGCATTATTCCCATTTTACAGACGAGGAAACGGAGATGCGGAGAGGTGTGAGTGAGAGCCACATGTGTCTGACCCCAGAGCCTGTACTTTCCTCTGTGACCAAGCGCTGAGGCTCTAGCTGGGTTGGAACCAGGAATCCTGGGGAAGCTCTGCCTCGTGGCCCCGAGGAGCCGGCTTTGGGGTGTGTTCACGCGAGGGCTACCTGTTGCCAATGCCTGTGTCTATTTTTTTTTTTTGGTAGTTGCTTGATCTTTGTAGTTGTTCACTCACTCTCTCAAAACTTCAGAAGAAGAACCCCACTCTCGCATGTGTGTTCTTTTAGGGTCTACCCGTGACCAAGACTGGTCGCCCCTGAGGCGTGCCTTAGAGGGGAGGTTATTGTTTCTAAGTCAGTTGCTTTGGTTTTAGTTAAAAATTCCCCAAGGATGAGAAGATACTGCGAGTATAGTAAAGCAAACACTACGAAAACCCCAAAGTGGGGTTAAGGTAATGGCTGTGAGATGCGTTTTTCTGAAATCACAAAGCCTACAATTTGTGCATTTGTTCTTTTATGTGAAGGTTCGTAATGAGTTTTACAAGGACACACAGGGCGTGATACTGGTGTATGATGTGGGGCAGAAAGACTCCTTTGATGCCCTTGATGCATGGCTGGCAGAGATGAAGCAAGACCTTGGACCACACGGAAACATGGAAAATATTGTATTTGTAGTGTGTGCCAACAAGGTAATGCTTGGGAAATGGTTTGCTCAACTTCTGGATTTATTGCTCTTGCAGCTCTGAGTCTTGGGGGACAAATAAAAAGAAAAATCCCTCATTTTTTTTGTTTGCTTTCACAGAAATAAATTTGACATAAAACAAAGTATAAATTTAAGGTATACAACATGCTGATATGAAACATTTATCCATTATAATATAATTACCAGTGTATAGCAGTAATTAGCACTTCTATCAGATTCATAATTATCTTCTTTTTAAAAATCTTTTTGACTTTTTGAGTCACACCCAGAGGTGCACGGGGGTTACTCCTGACTCTGCACTCAGGAATTAATCCTGGTGATGCTCGGGGGACCATATGAATGCTAGGGATCAAACCTGGGTTGACCACGTGTAAGGCAAACACCCTACTCACTGTACTATGGCTCCAGCCCTCTTTTTTTTTTTTTTATTAAATCACCAGGAGATACAGATACAAAGCTTTCATGATTGAGCTTCAGTCATACAATGATCGAACGTCCATCCTTCCACCAATGCGCATTGTCCACCACCAATGTTCCCAGTATCCCTCCTGCCACCCCCACCTCTGTGGCAGGCACCTTCCTTCTTTCTCTCTACTTTTGAAAATCTCTCATTCTTAACAGAGAAAACAACACTTTCAAAATGTATGTTCCAGTAACAAAACCATTAAACACACACACACACACACACACACACACACACACACACACACATACACACACACACACAGAGTCAGGTCTATTAGGATTTGGATTCACTTTGGCTTCTGGGGCCCCAGGAAGGAGCCGGCTGTGGTGCAGGAGAGGTGTTCCCCGCGTCACAGTCCATAGTACAGCCAGGGCCTGTGTGTGCTGTGGAAGGGCCACGCCCCAGCCAGACGGTCCCCACAGAAACCCAGTCTTTAGTGACCATGCTTTTGTCCTGCTGCTCTGAGTGAGTTTCTCAGGTGGTGCTGGATTCATGAAGGATAGTGTCGCCTCAGTAACGAGTGGACAGAGATTGGGCTGGAGAGACAGCGGAGCAGGTAGGGTAGTTGCCTTGCACACAGCTGACACGAGTGTGATCCCCGATATCCCATATGGTCCCCCAAGCCTGCCAGGAGTGACCCCTGAGTGCAGAGCCAGGAGTAAGCCCTGAGCATCACTGGGTGTGACCCCAAAGCAAAGTGGCCACAGACCTCCAGGGCTGAACTTGGAACTCTCTTTCTGCTGATCCCACCCTTCCCCAACCCCTCCTCCCATCTGATAGTTTGGGCTTTTTAATGACCAGTTTTTAACAATTACCATTGATTTACAAGCCCTTCAAATTTTTTTTTTCAGATTGACCTTACTAAGCACCGTTGTGTGGATGAAAGTGAAGGACGCCTTTGGGCTGAAAGTAAAGGGTTCCTGTACTTTGAGACCTCGGCCCAGACTGGAGAAGGAATCAATGAGATGTTCCAGGTATTTTTTTCTGTGAGGCTGTCAGAGGGAGTTCTTGTTAGAATAAGAATAAGAATGTGTATATGTGTGTGTGTGTGTGTGTGTGTGTGTGTGTGTGTGTGTCAGAGAGAGAGAGAGAGAGATTGTTCAAAACGCAGATTTCTGGGGTAAAATGATAGTACAGTGGTTAGTGCACTTGCCTTGCATATGGCGATGCAGATTCAATTCCCAGCACCCCCTATGGTCCTTTAAGCCCTGCCAGGAGAAATCTTGGAGCACAAAGCCAGGCGTAAACCCTGAGCACAGCCCCCAAACCAACAAACAAAACCAAAATTTAGATTGTAGCTGCTGGAGACTTAATGTCATGGTGAATTATTTACCTGTATTTTGAAGAAGCTCATCAGGTGATTATGATCAAACTTACTGATATTGATTTTAATATATGAACTTAAGTGGGAGAAAAATCTTCTTCAAAACTCCTTTGGTGAATGGTGTTACATTTGTATACATGACAAGATGGAAAATTCCTTTAGCAGAATTGCCTGCCGTAACAAATACAGTGGGGTCTCTCTTGGGCCTCTGGGGTTCAGTTATAGGACAGGAAGTTTATCTTTGCAGAATCCAATGAGTCACACATAGAAATTAGTTTTTGTTTTGTTTCAGGGTCAGACCCAGTGGTGTCAGGCTTGTATTCCTGGCTCTGCCTTCAGGATTCACTCCCAGCAGGGTTCATGGGCCCATAGGGGGCGCCAGGGAGTGCCCAGGTCATTAGCTGTGTGCAAGGCTAGCACCCTCGATGCTGTACTATTTCTCCAGTCCTAGAAATTAGTTTTTACCTATCAAGTAGGCAGTAAAAGTCTGTGTACTCACACTGTAACCTAAATAGATAAGAACTTTTCAACATTACTAATCTCGATTCTTGTAAGGGAAGGAAGCTATTTAAAACAATAACCTGTAAAATCAACTCTTAATTATAAATACATTTAAAAGTCGTGGCATGAATAATGTATTTTTCTTATGAATATATCTGATATTTGGGGAATTTTTAGCATTTTAAATAATGTAGCTATACTATAAAGAGTTGTTCTTAATGATTGAGTGGGCTTTTATTTCATCTTTTTGCTGAACTTCCTTCTCATGAGCCATCCTCTCTCCTGCTAGAAGACAGCCTTTATCCTGGGCTGACAGGCAGAATGTGGGGCATCAGGATCTTTTATTTCAAGACCAAATAAGGCTGTCATTGACTTGCCGTGCTCTTGATCCTTTTGGTACATAGGCCTGTATGCTTTTGTAAGTCAGTATGCAGTGATGATACTCAATGCTTTGAAAAGGATGTCACAGATCGAAAGAAGTTTACGTGTTTTTTTTTTTACTTATCTTTTTTTATTAGTGAAACACCATGAAGTACAGTTGTAGATTTACAATTATTTGTGCTTGGGTTTCGATTATACAATGATCAAATACCCATCCCTCCATCAGTGCCCACTTTCCACCACCATGGATAATATCCCTCCCACCCCACCCCCCCCATTCCACCCTGCCTCTGTGGCAGGGCATTCCCTTTTGTTCTCTCTCTCCTTTTGGGTGTTGTGGTCTGCAAAAGAGGCATTGAGTGGCAAACATGTTCAGTCCATAGTCTACTTTCAACATGCATCTCCCCTCCTGGGAGGATCCTCCAAACACCCTTTATTTGGTGCTCCCTTCTCTATCTGAGCTGCCCTTTCCCATAGAATGCCCGGCTGGCCTCTTAGTTATGGAGTAATCCTCCTGGTGCTGATCTCAGCTATTCTTGGGTATTAATCTCACATTTTGTTACTTTATATCCCTCAGATGAATGCAGTCTTTCTATGTCTATCCCTCTCTTTCTGACTCATTTCGCTTAGCATGATACTTTCCGTGTTGTACCACTTGTATGTAAATTTTATGACTTAGTCTTTTCTAACAGCTACATAGTACTCCATTGTGTAGATGTACCAAAGTTTCTTTAACCAGTCATCTGTTCTTGGGCATTCAGGTTTCTTCCAGTTTTCGGCTATTGTAAAGAGGGCTGCAATGAACAAACAAGTGCAGATGTCACTTCGACTATGCTTTTTTGCCTCTCTGGGATATATTCCCAGGAGTGGTATTGCTGGGTCAAATGGGAGCTCAATTTCTAATTTTTTGAGAATCGTCCATACTGTTTTCCAGAAGGGCTGAACCAGTCGGCATTCCCACCAACAGTGAAGGAGTGTCCCTTTCTCGCCACATCCGCGCCAGCATCGGTTGCTTTTGTTCTTTTGAATGTGGGCCAGTCTCTGAGGTGTGAGATGGTATCTCATTGTGGTTTTGATCTGCATCTCCCTGATGATTAATGATGTAGAGCATTTTCTCATGTGCTTTTTTGCCATTCGGATTTCTTCTTTGAGAAAGTTTCTGTTCATTTCATTGTCCCATTTTTGGATGGGGTTGGATGTTTTCTTCTTGTGGAGTTTAACCAGTACTTTGTATATCCTTGATATCAACCCCTTGTCAGATGTGTATTCGGTGAATATCCTTTCCCATTCTGTAGACTGTCTTTGTATTTTAGTCACTGTTTCTTTGGAGGTGCAGAAGCTTCTTAGTTTAAGATAGTCCCATTTATCTATCTCTGTTTTCACTTGCTCAGCCAGTGGCGTGGCATCTTTGAAGATACCATTAGCTTCAATGGCATGGAGGGTTTTGCCGACTTTGTCTTCAATGTACCTTATGGTTTCTGGTCTGATGTTGAGGTCTTTAATCCATTTTGATCTTACTTTTGTACACGGTGTTAGGCAGAGTTCTGAGCCCATTTTTTTGCATGTAGCCGTCCAGTGATGCCAGCACAATTTGTTAAAGAGGCTTTCCTTACTCCAAGAAGTTTACATGTTTCACCTCATTTGAGCTCCTTAAAAAGTGTGCCAGATATTTCTCTCCTTTTAGATATGAGGATGTCTAAGAGTAGTGCTGATTTGTCTCAGATGTAAACAGCCTCAGGTCGACATGGATTGTTTTAGCACTTGACGGATATAGATGTGTCCCTCTGTCCATGAGATGTTGGCACACCGATTCCTTTGTAGTGTGTCTTTCCTCTCTAACTGCTTTCCGGAATTTCTCTTTACCTTTAGCTTTTCAAAATCAAATATAACTTTCTTTATAGTCATTTTGATTGGTAGGCAGGTATTTTTCTCATCCAATTTGGAAAACTGTTTTTTAAAACCACAATTCTTCATCTTTTTCCCCTACTTTTTTCCTTCTTTGATTGTAATTACATGGACATTGCATAATTTCCTCCCTCATAACCCTTGAAGCATTATTTTTCTTTAATTTTCTCCCCCCCTTTTTTTTAGATTACATCATTTCTCTTGATTAAATTCAATCTTTGTTGTTAAATCATCCAAGTAAAATTTTTTACTTCATTCTCTTCTGTTCTAAAATGGGCATTTGGGGGCTGGAGAGATAGCACAGTGGGTAGGGCATTTGCCTTGCACACGGCCAACCCAGGTACAATTCCCAGCATCCCATATGGTCCCCCGAGCACCGCCAGGAATAATTCCTGAGTGCAGAACCAGGAGTAACCCCTGAGCATTGCCGGGTGTGACCCAAAAAAGCAAATAAATAAATAAATAAATAAAATGGGTATTTGGATTGGGTTTGGCTTGGTTTGGTAGATCCCAGTCCCAGTTGTCCTCTGATATTTTATATCAGTTCACTCACGAAAAGCATATTTTTCCTTAAGAAGAAGCCAAAATTCTTTTGCTTCCTTATATTTATAATGGCTGCATTAAAGTTCAGTATCTGAGGGACCAGAAAGATTATGCAGCGTATAGGGCGCTTGCCTTGCACGCGACTGACTCGATTTGCTTGTTTGTTCGGTCCCAGCACAGCATCTGGTCTCCTGAGCAGCACTCCAGGCCCCTGAGCACAGCCTGTGTGCCTCCAAATCAAAGCAGAACAAGAATGTTCAGTATTTCACCCAGCTTTTTTGATCAACTACTCTTTTTCCCTAACTCTGGATCACGATTTTGGTTTCTTTGTCTGAGTAGTGATTTCTGATTGAACACAGCCAGGAGGAAAATTGTAGCGGCTACAGATTCTTTTATTTTCTTAAGAAGAATGTTGATTCCTGTTACAGCAGGCAGTTCAATTATGGGAAGATTACTGTGAACTTGTATAAGCTTGATTTTTTTTGCCTTAATAGCAAGAATCATAAGTAAGCCTGAAATATTTCTCAAGCCTTTTCTGATTTGGCAGACTTGGCCCCCAAGTTGTGTCTTTCTTGCAGATCTTCTCAGCTCCTAGCTTGGGGTTTTGTTAGAATGAGTTCACGCTTAAAGCATAGCCTTTTGGGGGCATTCCAGCTAGACTCCAGGGGTCCAGATTGGGGTGAGAAAGGTGAGGTTAAGCCCTCTAGTGTGCCCGTCTCAGGGTTGGAGTGCGAGCGCCCGGTGGGCTTTGCTTAACCTCACTCTGTGCTTAGCCTGCCCTTAGCAGCACACTGCTGGGGACCCCCTACCTGGTCTTCCGGGACCCTGCTTGGCACAGCCTTTTCCTCTCCAAGGCCTCAGATTCTTGCCACTTCAGTGTCCTCCGGGTCTCACCTAGGTCTGCTTCGCTCAGTGGGCTTGCCGTCCCATCTGCTCGGATGCATCACCTGAAGCCCACTCCCGCCGGTAGATCAGGGTGCCGTGGGATGTGGCTCTCTGCACAGACCCTGCACGTGTGAGACCTGGGCTCAATCCCTGGCACTACCAGGGCTCAGAATATTTAGGTGGGCTCTCGTCCTTGCTGTTGTCCGTGACCTGAGCATAAGCGGCTCAGATATTCCTTCACGGCCGCAGTAGTTAGAGCAAGAGGCCTGGCCAAGTCGCACCTGATTAGCCCATCAGAGACCTCAGACAGGGCAATCAGACTTTTCCTTTAGCTCAGTTCATTTAGGCAGACAGGGGGTATGTCCTGCCCCTCATCCAGCATGACTGGCCAAGCGGACCAGGGGTCTGCGGGTGCCATGCTGCAGTGCTTGGTGGTCTTCAGGGCTGCGAGGGTGGGAATAGGGGCTGCTGGGGGGGTGCCTTGTCCTGCTGGGGGCCCGGAACAGATGCAGCCTGCGCCCCCGAGCGCTGTGCTCCCTCTCTGACCCCGACAGACCCGAACATTTTTACTCTTGTTGTGGCAGCCTGGGTCCCAAATGATGGTGTTGCCTGAATTGTGGTGGGCATGGGGGGGGTGCTGGGCACCGACCAACACTGAGCCATGCCGAAGCCCCCCTAGACAGACTTCCGACTTGAACGCAGTGTTGTGCGTCCCACACCACAGCCGCTCGCCCTGACACCTTGTGTATCCCAAGCCCCGATTCCCCCCAAACCCCGTCCTCAGACACATGCAAGCAAGTCCCTGTGAAGTGAGAGCCCTTTCAGTTGGCCTTTGTCTTTTTTGGTAAATCCTGGGTAGAACTAATACATACATGAGCAAAGACTGTAGCAAAACTGTTTGGTCACGAGACACGAAGAAGCAGGCTTCTCGCGTGCATATTTTCCTCGTTTCCTGTTTTCCTTTCTTCCCTGGCAGCCAGGTATCACACCCAGGTCTCATCCCTGCAGGTGGCAGCTTTTCTGCAGCACCACCCCTGGGCCCATTTCCTGCATTCTCAATAGCTTCCTGTGTCCACAGGGATTTCGGTTTCGTCATTTTCACTGATGACAGGTTGTACTTTGGAATAGACTAAAGCCAACCTGACATTTCTTGTGCTTTGGTATCAGGTTACTCTTCCTCTGACCAGCTCCTCACGCGTCAAGTTTTCTTGCTTAGGTCATTAAGTCAGTTAGCTGCGATAGAGGACAAGAAAGAAGGGTGCAAGTGAAAGGTAACAGTTGGGGTGAGGGCAGAGAGAGTACAGGCGTTAAACACACACCGGTTCTGTACCTGGCATTGCATATAGTCCCCTGAGCAACCCCAGGAAGAGCCCTGAGCACAGAGCCAGGAGTAAGCTACTGCCTTGTAACCCAAACACTGAAAAGAAAAAAAAAACACATCCTTTTTTGAGGAATTGGGGAGATTGCATCAAGGGCTGGAGTGCATGCTAGTTCCCGGTTTGATTCTTCCACACCACATGGTCCCCTGGACACTGAGCCTGGAGAAGACCCCACCACCACAGGGTGTGACCCACCCCAAACCAAAAACTAAATGATGAATAAAATAAAATCAGTTTAGGGGTCAGGGAGATGATGTAGGGGTTAGGTCACATGTAAGGCACTGACCTGGGTTTGATTCTTATATGAGCATTGCCAGAATTGGCCCTAGAGATCCCTGAGCACTGTCTGGGTGACCTGGTGGTCCCCAGCACTGCAGAACCTGACCACCACCACATTCTCAGCCTGGCACTGAATAGCTGGCCTAGTTGGTACAGAGTAGAGTATCACTAGGCGTGGCCCTGGGCCTGGAAGGCCCAAAAGGCCCATAATAAAATAATTTAGGAGTATTAAATTATCTGAAAAAGAGTAAGAAACAGAGAGAAGGGCTGTCTCAATGTCAACGCTATAGTATATTTACAGCATTGTGAAGGATAGTATTCAATAATAGTAACAGTGCACAGAATATAAAACTTGAATAGGATCAGAAAGAGTTTCCTGGGCCAGAGAGAGAGTGCAAGAGTTCAGTAAAGTGCCTTGTTCGCACGTAGCCTCTTCGAACCCCGGCACCTCTAAGAGTATTCCCTGAGCGCCACCAGGTCCTCCCCCAAATTACAACAACAGCAAGAAGACATTGTCCTGGGGGCCTAAGATGACTCCGTGGCGGCAGTGTCTGTGCTCCGGCTGAGGCGGGCCGCGTGCTTCTGCTCGGTTGTTCTCTCCGCAGACCTTCTATCTAGCCATCGTCGATTTCTGTGAACACGGCGGGAAACGCCCCGTGCCCAGCAGCAGCGTGAGCTTCACCAAAGAGCAGGCGGACACCATCCGCCGCATCCGGGGCAGCAAGGACAGCTGGGACATGCTGGGGCTCAAGCCCGGGGCCTCGAGGTAGGAGCACGGGGGCCTGCTGGCCGGGACGGAGATGTGTGGAAATAGGTTACTTAACGCCGCTCTTTCCCCAAACAGCGGACGTCCCACAGAAGCAGAACAAAGGGCACGGCCTGCGCCCCGCAAATCCGAGTGTGCAAACCAGGTCCCCTCCCCTGGATCTGGGCAGAACCCTCTGGCCCAGTGGCCTCCCAGGAGCCTCTCGCCCAGAGATGAAGGGCAGGAGAGGCCGCACGGGCCTCCCGCCCTCCCGCCTTCCCGCTGGTGGGGGCGTCGCATTCTCTCCTGGCCTGTGGAGAGAGATTGTCGTTAGCAGCGACCGAGATTCCCCTGACTCTCGGTGCCACTGCCCAGGGCCTCTCTCTGGTCAGCAGCGCCGCCTGCCCGCACCCCATTCGGCTCTTTGTCTCCAGCGTTCCTTGGTCTGCTTCCGCAGACGCGGGCCCAGCTCGCAGACTCATGCTTGGCCCATGGTAACTGCCTCCTCCGTGTCCCCTCCCGTCAGAGATGAGCCTTCCCAGCTGCTGCAGCCAGAGGCACCTGTTCCTGCCTCTCAGTTGGGCCTTCTTGGGCTTGCTTTGCCTCTCAGGCCTTTGGTTTCCTGCCCAGCCTGTCGTTCTACTTTGTCACACAGGCCCCTGGCGTCTCTGGCCGTGCCCCCCCCAGCTCTGACCCCCGCCCTCTGCTCTCCCCACCGCTGCGCTAGTCTCTGAGCCCCCCTTTCGGAACCCTCCTCCACGAGGCCTTCCTGCTCCCCCCCTCCCCCAACCCCCCCATTGAACCGGAGGCCTCGGCGCCCGTGTGTTGCCTGGCATTGGTGTCTTCTTGCTTATGGTCATTTCTTTTTTGTTTTTTCAATTATCCACTTTAACCATTGGTGAAATATACAAACATTTCATATGAAGTCTATTTACAACAGATATAAAAACAGGGAATTGTGTTCTTCTATATGAAATTCTGGGGACATTAGTTACTTTCAAAATAGTAAAAAAAATTTTAGGTGGAAAATTGAAATAACCTTGCGGTCACTTCTGCTGTGTTTCCTCGTCCTTGAGCTCGCCTTGGGGGAGGGCAGCCATTGGTGGGGTGGGAGGCGCTGCACGCCAGCCCCACAGGGGACGTGTCACCGAGACCCTCCTCTCGACGTGTCACCAAGACCCTCCTCTCCCCGCAGGGAGGAAGTCAACAAAGCGTACCGGAAGCTGGCAGTGCTGCTGCACCCCGACAAGTGCATGGCACCCGGGAGCGAGGATGCCTTCAAGGCCGTGGTGAACGCCCGGACAGCCCTGCTGAAGAATACCAAGTAGGAGGGCCAGGCACGCACCCGCCCTCGGCCCCGCGTCCGTGGGGCTGTGTTCTTTGTCGCACTCTGTCCTTTGTCGCTGCCGCAGGAGGCTCGAGTCAGGCGACGTTCGGACACGCTGTGACGAGAGCTGAGCGCCTCTTGCCCCAACTTGCCCCCCGTGGTCAACATCCCCCCATCCCTGTGGGCCCTGGAGCAGGATCCCTGAGTCCCTCGGCAGTTCGTGGTCCCCTCGGGGATGCCAGGAGCCTGCGCGAGGGAGGACGGGACAGACACCCCTTTCTCATTCTTGTTTGTCAGTCGTTGAGAAGGGGACGCACACACACCTGGAACCGAGGCTCGGCTCGGTGGGGACTTTGGCCACGGGCCTGACACTGGGGACCTGGTGGCAGCCTCTGGAAAGGGTGAAAGCCGATTCAAACGGGGCCGTCCCTGCTTCCCCTCCTCTGGCCACCAGGGGGAGCGACAGGCCTGGCAGAGGGAAGGCCGAGGCCACTGCGCCTCCCCAGCCCTCTGGGTCCCGAGTGCGGGCAGGTGTGGGGGGGCAGCACGAGCCCAGTGGGGGCCGGGGGGCTCCAGAAGTCGGGCCCAGCACCCCCAGACAGTGCTCATCGCAGGCCCTGCCTCTGGCTGCCCCAGCGCCGTAACCCAGATGCGGCTTCCTCCCTCCGCCAGCCCTCTCCTCTTCCCCTCTTCTTTTTAAATATTCGCCATCACCATCATCTCTATCTTGCTTCCTGGCATCCAGCCGCTGCCTCCACTCCTCCCTTTGCCTTGGCTGAGCCTGGTCGACCAGGGGCGGGAGCAGGGGGAACCCTTCGGGTGGGGCCCGTGGGGGGGCGTGTCCTGGTTGCTTGCCCTCCACCGCCCCGACAGGCAGCGTTTCAACTGCACTTCTCGTAGCTGATCTCCCCCAGCGAGCTCCGCCCTCTGGTCATACTCCCCTCCTCGGGCCCTTGGGGCAGCTGGGGACCGGGTGTTGGGTTCGGCCTTCAGAGCTCGCGGCCCTGGCCGCCCTGTCTCCTGTCCCTGGGACTCATGGTTTTCGCGTGACTGAGCTGTCCCAGGCAATACTGTCGGCGTCTACTGGGCTGCCCCTCCCTCCCGCAGGGAAGCTGGACTAGGCCCACTTGGGTCCCGAGCATCCTCCCGGGGCCCCTGCAGGGAATCCCGGAGCCTCACTTCCTAGTTTGCGTTTCTCCTCACAGTCGGATGGATGGGAATGCTTCTCTTCTTTCTTTTAATGAGTTGAGATCTAACTTCCCGGGGCAGTTTCCTCTGGCCTGTGCGTTGTAGCTTCCCGGACTGTAGATGTGCATTTTGACCTAGGTTTCACAAAGGGCCTTTCTCAGACCTGAAGGCCCCAGAAGCCTGGGGACATGCATGGTGGTGTCTGCCCAGGTTGGCGTGATTGCTCCCTGCTGGGGCCCTGCAGGAGCCCTCCAGGGTCTCGTCGGAACTGCTGGTTGCCTCACACAGGCCTCTGCAGAGGAGGAGCTAGGGCCGCGAGCGTCCCAGCAGTTAGGACCTGAGTGTCCCAGCATTTGGGGCCTCGAGCATTCCAGCTTCTGCTTGTGGAGACTGCTTGTTGCTGGTTCTTGCGGGCTCTGTCGCTTACACTTACTAACGTGAATGATGACCGGCACTATTTCGGTGAGTAAAAGGAAGAAAAGAAGCAAGTTTAGCTTCAGCACCTTCAAAGTTTTCTGATTCCTTAAGCCTTGAATAGATTATTAAGAGGTAAGGAAGCATGATTTGCAATGAGGTTTTTTTGGGGGGTGGGGTACAGATTTCATACAAAACTTTACAGACCTCTGTGCATTACTTTCCATCCAATCTTGGTGCAGATGTGCTTTGTAGTTCTACTTCATAAAAATTTCTACTTCATAAAAATTCTTCAGCCAGGTAAGATTGCAAAAGACATCATTGAGAATAACCACTAGCAGGAGTTTCCCATGGCCGAAAAAAAGTTTCATAGAGAATCTTGTTTTTCGAAAAAAAAGAATAAAAGCTTGAACAGGTATTATGAAATCAAAGCCATTTTTACCATGTCTGAGTCACCAAGAATCAACACTTTTAAAACTTTTAGAAATCCCTGGAGGCATTTCGAATCCAGCACCCAACCTACCTGAGCACTTGAAAATGCACACAGCCTCCTCTGGTCCTCTCCCTGTCGCTGCTCCCCCGGACCCCCTAGAACCCGGTGTCTTATTGCCAATGTTTCTTTGACTTGAACATTCTCATCTGTGCCCCTTTGAACCGGTGTCTTACTGCCAACGTTTTCTTTTACTTGAACAGCTTCATCTTAACTTCTCTACATCAGTGTGTCCTTGGTTTGGGTCCAGACTTGGGGGGTGTCGCCCTGCACGGTGGGGCGGGCTAGCTCCTGCCCGCTGGGCGCGCCCTCTCCCCCTTGGCCGGTGGCGTCTCTGTGAGGCTAAGCGGCAGCTGGTCTTTCTGTGGATTGCATACTGTTCCCTCTGGCTGGCATTTACCTCCGCCGCCTTGCCGTTGTGTGTTCTCCCCGCATCGAATTCTCTCCTGGTGACTGTTTCTTCACGCCCACCCATGAGGACCCGCTTCACTGTTCACTGTATGAGCCATAGATAAGGCAGCGATGGTTCTGGAAGGAGGCCAGAGGGAGGGCCGGCTCTGTGTCAGCAGCACTGTGGGGGGGGGGGGGGGGGGGCGGGGGCAGGAAGGGTTTCGGTCCACCCTGGGTAGGGGGAACGCAGGTGGCTCTGCAGGGCGAGGAGGCTCTCTCTGGAGTCCTCGAGGGGGTGCCGGAATGTTTCTCTCCCTCCTACCATCTCCATCGAGCTCACTCTGAGCTCATCAAACGTTTTCCAGAAGACTTGGAAAAGGAAATTGAGCTGCAAATAGTGCTCCTGCATCCGTTGTGAGGTTTTCAAAGGGAGGAGAGGTTCTTGCTTCTCGGGGTACTGCTTAGCACAGTGGTGAGATGCAGCTGCTGGGGCTGGTCCACAGGCGTTGCAGGGGGAATGGAAAGCTTCGGGTGTGTGCAGAGCGGTTGAGCGTGTCTGACGGGAGGTGCAATAGTAACTGTGCGAGAGGGGCCCGGCGGGGACACGGCTTGCTGCACGGTGGGGGGCCAGCTCCCTGCCCGCTGGACGCGCCATCTCCCCCTTGGCCGGTGGCGTCTCTGACGAAGCCCTTCGCTCTAACGAGGTAATGTACTTAAGTGCTTACAGAAAATGTTAACTCTAACGGTTGTTTATGTCTTGTATAGAGAGTGTCATATGTATTTAAGTTGCATATTTTTCTAAAATAAAGCCGAATATCAAACACTGGCCTGTGGGCCACACTTCTTTGTGGAGATGATGGTCTTTCCCGTGGGGAACCCGGGAGTCGTAACAGCCGTGGTCACGCACCAGCTCAGGCCTCCAAGAAGGCCCCTGCTGGATCCGCCTGGCCAAGTAGGGCCACCCTACTCGCCGCCCCTCAAGCCGTTGTAGCCCTACACGTGCCAGGCCAGGACTCCGCCACTGAACCACATCCCCAGGTTTGGATTTCTTACAAATGTGTTTCCCTTTCTAATTCAGACTGGAGAGCTGTGACCTCATTTTAACAGTGCAGCTCTTGACTGAGACAAGTCTGTCCCCAGATGAGAAGAGTATGTCAGTGACCAGATTACCCTTTGTGAGCACCTGGAAGAGGAAGCCTGTTGGCCAACCCACAGAAGGTGCTAATAAGAGCTCTCATTTTATTTTTAAAAATATTATTATTAATTATCATTATTATTATTATTATTATTATTATTATTATTTGGGGGCTGGAGCAATAGCATAGCGGGTAGGGCATTTGCCTGGCATGTGGCCAACCCAGGTTTGATTCCTCTGTCCCTCTCGGGGAGCCCGGCAAGCTACCGAGAGTATTTCGCCTGCTTGGCAAAGCCTGGCAAGCTACCCGTGACGTATTTAGTATGCCAAAACAGTAACAACAGTCTCACAATGAAGACATTACTGGTGCCCACTTGAGCAAAACCGATGAACAACAGCAGGACAGTGCTGTTATTACTTTGAGGGCTCACATCCTACAGTGTTCAGGGCTTACTCCTGACTATGTCTTCCGATTCACTCCTGGGGTGGGAGCCAACTGGCCATATTTATAAATGAGTGATAACCCGTAATAAACCAAGAAATCATTTAGTTTGTTACAGGATCACTGTTAAATGCTGACAATTTCAATTAATTGATCCAAGACTTCGCAGGTACCCTTTCAGTTTCTAGGCAGCACTATTGAATAATATTTCATCACCGTGTATTTCATTGAGCACCTAGTATGTGCCAGCAGCAGGCTTGACTCGGGGTCTTGGGCATACTAGGAGTGCACTCCAGCCATTTGAATGGTCTCCCTTGCTGTCAGGAATAAGCTTCTGCCAGGCCCTGCGTGTGATGTCCAGGCTAGGCAGGGCGTCCACTGAATGAAACCACTTAATGAATCTTTGATGGAAGGGAAAGTTCTTCGTGTGCAGAGAGGCCAAGAGTGGAACTGCTTTTCATCAGAATTGAGTGAGATTTCTTGGAAGGAGACAGACTGATATGAGGGGTGAGACGCTGGCATCCTGCAAAGGCCAAAGGAGCCACAGTAGGTATTTGGATTATTGGGCAGTATTACAAAGGCAGCTACAGGGAAGTTCCCAGAGACAAACAGAGGTCTCTGAGGAACTTATTCATAATACCGCCCCCACACTTTATACTTACGGAAACTCAGGCTCAGAGAGACTTGTCCGTGGCCACACAGGAAGCTGCCGCCTTCCTTCCAAACCCAGGCTCCTGGTCTACACATCAGCCTCGGGATCACATTTTTATTTTTTTTATTTGTTTTGGGGGGGGCCACACCCCGTGGTGCTCAGGGCTGACTCCTAGCTCATTCCTGGCTCAGAGATCACTCCCAGTAGGGCTCAGGCCACCATATATGGTGCCAGGGATCAGCCCCAGGTCAGCCATGTGCAAGGCAAGTGCCCTTAGAATGCCACTGTCTTGGGGCTCTGGCCCCA